AAGCGACTCATTCAAGAAACTCTTATTGAAGTCGTCTTCTGTAGGTTATATATTAAATGATAGGCACCCGACTTCAATAGTTCTTTCTTGAATAAGCCGCTTTTGAGATAAGCATTATTTATTTCATCACTTTTTTAAAGTTTGAAAGGCGCTTCTATCTTAAAAAAAAATATTTTCATGCGTTTTAGTGGTATTGCCATATTTATATAATACGTACCAAAAATATTAAATATCTATATAGAAATAAGTAAACATAGTGAAAGTTTTAGGAAAGGACATTTTTTTTTATTTGCTTAACATATTTTTTTCTAATACTCACTTATAAAGAGGAAAAATTTGATTGCTAGTTTGTTTGCATAAGATAGGCTCTGAAACTATTGGACGATTCTAAATGTTTTCATCTACGGGAAACTACATAATACGTGGGGGATGTATGCTATCATTTACGCAGGCCACAGCGCAGGCGAAGTCGCTGAGAAACAGCTTATTTAATAGAAATTGGTTCACAATTCAAGAAGAAATCGATGAGTATACTTACATAAAAATTACACATACCCGTTGTACATAGAAAAATCTGCTTTGAGATTTTAAATAAATGCAAAGCATGCAAAATACGCAATCTTTTGTTTTATCGCTGATATAAACATATCATCTTAATATTTAGGATAATATCTAATGCAACGTATATTTTGTTTTGCTATAAAAGGAAAACTACTGTTTTGATTTCGATAAAATGAAGCTATTGAATTAGAGGCAAGTTCTTTACATATTCCGGAATCTTATTGAATATTATTTGGGACATATAACAGGAGTTCTTGATATGTAATTCGCTTTTTGGCGCTATGCCGAGCACCAATCTATTTTTTATTTCTAGTGTTTCTGGGATTATGGCTTTTTTATAAAAAATGGGATATTTTTTGACAAATTTCGCTACCTACTTCAAAAATATACAAGTAAGGAAGAGACACAATACCGAGGAATTTAAATGATGCCGAGCACATGACACATCGCGAGCAATGCCACATACTGATCATATATCCTTTTTTTTGCAATAAATACCCTAATAAGGTTTAAAGCTTTCTTCATTTACCAGCATTAAATTTAAAAATCAGTAAGTAAGTAGTATTCCTACAAACATATCTTTAAACATGAAGAGTCTAAAAAGCCTTTGAAGTTTGTACTTTTAATTAAACAATTTATATCAGGCAATTTAAATATAAAGACAACAAAACCAGAAAATTCGATTTCAGTCAATTAAAATGCCAATGTAAAATATAGGATACGTATAAATAAATCATAAGATACAAACGGTTACTTCATGATATTATAAATGCGGAAGTAATTCTGTCTGTCTGTAACACTTTATAGATGAAATTTAGTATGAAAATAATTAAATCGACAGATTTTTCAATTGTTACACGTGTATACCAATTATCCTAATTCTAAATAATGCCGTTTGAAGGAAACCCGACTTTTTTATGAATTGTCGTCTATCGAACCTGTGTAGTTAAAAGTATTCTGTGAAGTTCTTGTTTGTATGTACCTATTACAGTTATAATACCTACTATAGTTTATAAAATACGGTTATACATGTCTGATTACAGGACCCAATAATCATAAATCATGATATCAAAAAAGAAAAATATGGCGCAACTATTCAACGAATTAGTCAACACCATAGTGATTCAAATACCGAACTACCATAGGGACAAAAACGTAAAAAGCGTCTGTTATTAAATCGTAATGGTGCATCATGGCTGCAATATTAAGATTGAGAGCAAATGGCGCGAGAGTCGCGTGCGCAAGGCTCGCGTTACAACCGACCCGCCACCCGTCGACCGGCTCTTATGATCGTAGAAGTTCCAATATCGATATTTAGGTTGTTGCTAATATAATAAAATATTGAAAGAACTTTGATAATTTGTTGTTGTTGCGAGGAGAGAACTTTGACATTACAGCTGACAAGGGGCCGTCCATCACACAAAATTCATTATTTTTTTAACCCCAAAAAAAGGGTGGGTCTTTCACATGTTTCTACTAAATATTGTTCTAATGTCACAGTTCGTTGAAAATTTTAAAAGGCTAAGACGTAATAGTTGACTATCAATAAATACTTATATTGACTGTTGAAATAATATTAATAATGTTTGACAAGTTATTTATATTATGAAAGTGAGCAGTAATATTACTAACTTATTTTCAACTATTTAATCAATACTGTAATAAAAAACTTTGTTGAGAACGATGATTTCTGCAGGAATATCGAATATCTACATCGACTTATTCTCGACGCTACAATTATTTATAATCCAAAGTGAAAAAATATGTAACTGTGAAACTAACATCTTTAATAACTAAAATACTTGCTGAACTGAAAATTTAACTAACAATAAGTAGCTCGATGGCGCATTGGACAAGCGCCGCGGGCCGTGTCGTTGTTGTTAAGCAACTTTCTCACGGGTCGGCCACGGGATGGATGAGCAAAAAATTATTATATTGAGCTACTCCATGCTTCGGAAGACACGCTAAGCTGTTAATCCTGGGTGCATTGGGCCACCATGGAAGGAGGGTTATGGCCCATCCTCCTTAACCATCCATAAGGAAGACCTGAGCCCCTGAATGATGACCATGACGATGATGACGATGGTTGCTTCTTCAGTTACCAAGAAGCATTAAAAACTCTTTAAAAAACATAAACAACAATAGGTAACTATTTTTGTCATGATTCTATCGATAAAGTGTCACACACAACACTACTTGATACTCGTATTATGTCCGAGTTTTTGTGCCAACACATAAGATATTAATTACCGGGGCGGAGAGCAACGCTTAATTTTATGCTTCATTTGGTTAATTTTTTTGTGTGTCGGTTTATTGAAATGCCTCAAAGAGATTACAGAATTGACATTACAATTCTTACAAGAAATAGCGAAAATATCTAGTTGAATCTCTATTTAAAATTTGCTTTACTAACACCCAAAATTTAATTTGAAAGACTTAAAGCACATAAGCATAGAGATACTTATTTGTGCTATAGAAATTAAAAACAATTAAGCTATGAAAAACATATAGACCAGAGTTAAATCATGTTATAAAGAGGAGAGTTTACCTACTATACCGATTTGAATGAAAAATATTATTAGAATTCCATATTATCCGTGATGATTCGATGAATATTGGTGATAGAATATTTTCTAAAACTTAAGGGGTTTTCTATTTTGTTACAATCTTTATCTTAATAATCATCAACTAATCAAAATCCAAATAATCATCAACTTTTTTTGAATATGTAACCCTAAATATGTTTTAATTTAAATTGTTTAAAATATTCGATAAAATTATCTACGGTAGCTTTGAAATACATAAGTTACCAAATTCACCTCCAAGATATTTAAAATCAAATAAAATCGTTAACAAAAGATTGATCTTGATTCATTTTCTTGATGAGTCTACTTTGAAGTTTTCCATACAGTATCAGGCGTACGTAACCGAAGACAAGCGGCGCATGAGTTCAAGTGGGCACAGTCCGTGTGAATCTGATCGAGTACTTGGTCTGTAAGCTGACACCGCGCGCGTCTGGTGAGCATCGAGCATCGTGCATCGCTGAGAAATCCAACAGAAATCAATCTCGCACAATCGCACCAACATGTGGGCGAAAGAAACGAAGAAATAATAAAGATAGAACGCTACTTTTTCACTGTAGATAGATATATGCTTTCGAAAGGTCACTCACATTTAAGTTCACTCAAAAGTTTTCTTTACAATTGAAAAGAGTAGTAGGTACCTGTTGTTTGTATCAATTATTTATAAAGCTTGAAAGCAGAATAGTCGTACTTTGTTTTTTTTTTTTGTTACATTAATATGTGTCTAAGTATTATGGTTATTCAACAGAATACTTCCAGTAATCTTGTTAAAAAAAAAACAAAACTGCCCAACCGATATAATAAATTTTTGTATTGGACTACCTCTACAAACAAAATAATATAGTGAATCAGTCTACATTTCATTCATCGGAAAATCGGTGAATATGAGTACATAAAAGAATACCCATCGATCATAGAACCTTTCCCTTTTTGATTCAAAGGCGCTATTTTCTGGACTGATAAATTTAGCTCGAGATAAGCTATGTTCTACGGACTCGATAGCTCAGGAGCTAGCGCGCTCGATCTGCGATACAATTGATAAGGAACTTTCGCAATGGGCAGTGGTGAGCGACCAAAAATTTATTTATTTTATAATTGCAATCGTTATTACCCACCAATTCGCTTCGGAGTTGGCATTAATTTTTACATGTAAAATGAAAATTGAATGAAAGATGGCGAATATTATTATTTATGGTTCACTGTATCTGCAAAGCTATCACCTACGTCAATCTTTGAGTTGTATTGGTCCTTAAAGGCTAGTTTCTTTTTTCAGAGTGTTGTTGTCTATTTAATGTGCAAATTACAAATAATGTAACAATGAACTTGAGTTTCCTATGTCTATGGAAATAACTGCTCTATTTTATTATTGTTGACTTGATTATGTATTGTTATTTGGAAATTTATTAAAAATCAAGTCTTTTCGATTGTGGAAGTGGTATTATTTATGTAAGATAAAGTAAATATTGTTTAAAAGAAATATTATTTATTACAATAGACGCTGCATTATAATCGCAATATTTATTAATGTTTGAAAACAAGATAAGACCTTATAAAGTACTTGTATAGATGTGATTTCTTCGCCCTTTTATTGTATAAAAAAGAACAACGTCACAGTCATAAACATCACTATCATTGTCAGTTTAAGCATCCATAATGTTACCAGACTAGTGTTCTTTTCGCGGAAATAGGGAAATATTAAAGTTTGAGAAAATGTTATTTTTGGCAATCAAGAAGTAAAAGATTCTAGGTATATTGTAGCCAAAACAAATGACTTTAATTATTATATTTGATCAATTATGCTTCACAATGCTATACTTAAAAATATTCTTAGTGAAAATGCTTAAAAATCCACTTTGTCCCATCTCAGAGAATTATAGCGATTAATCTAATCTCTTTAGAACTTTCTTATAATTAGAAAAACGCAACATAAAGTTAATGTGTTTCAAATACTATAAGTATTATTTAGTAAAAGTGTAATGTCCCACCGACATTATAAGTATTTTCATTGGAAAGATAAATATCAAAACTTAATAAAGATATTCAAAGTCGCTTTTAAAGGACTCATCAATAAAAAAACTCAACATTAAAAGAAAGTTATTAAGCTGTCAGTTTCATCCCTCTTAAGTGTGGTAACAATATCAGTAAATAATAAAAAATATGGGAAATTTGAGCAGGTTATACTAGCAATCTTGGATGTATGTCTGTCACTACTATTTCTTACTGTCAATTGTTGTCAAATGTCAATTGTACTTCGTCGAGCAGTCAAGGAAAATGTCTTATGTGATTCTGCTACTCTAAATATTAATATTATTTTGAAATCCCCATTTCAGTCTAAGGAAATTACTTCAAATTTACTAATGCAGAATATTTAGAACTGGTATTAATGGCCGATTTACCGAATGGCTGGGTTCAGCTGGTAAGATTCATTTTTGTTCCATTTTGTAATTATGATTCAATGAAACAGGCTTAGTAGTTTTTATATGTGTATACTGGCTCCCATTGTATAATTGGATGAAATTGCCCAATTGAGCACTCGTTGCACTCGATATATCGATATATATATTGAGAACGTCTACAATATATTTAACGTAGGTATGTACGTATTCTATTTGTAACCAACATTGCGAAACTGTTTTGTTGTCAACTGTGTCAGTAAGTTTACCACTTAGAAACAGTAAATTTATATTTAGAATCATATTAAAAGGTGACTCCTTCATAAGGAATGTTGATCAAGGATAATTGTTCACATGGTTTTCACTAATATTCTTCGTAATGTATTTTTTATATAGATAACAATTTAGTCACATCTTCATGTAACAAAATGTTATAATTCTTAGTTCAATAAGGCATATTAAACCTTGTAACCACTACATTTGTCTGATGGTTACCAAATCTATTATCATAAATTGTGTATTACATATTGTACAAATATTTTTTATAGGTATCTTTCTGAAGGCTTTCAAGTAATTATTGAAAAGTCAAAAGAAGCAAAATGTTCTCTAAAAGATATTCAATTGCGTTTCTTGTGCCCTGACGACTTAGAAGAAGTAAGTGCAACTTTTTTACTATAAGCTCAAACAATGAAAAAATCAAGTGTAAATTTAAATAAATATGTTATTTGGAGTCCTTCTCAGTCATTAATTCAAACCTCCCAATTAATTGAGATGGGAATAAGTTTTGTAATAATTTTTCAAAGTGAAATAGGTACTAATATAAAAAAATAGGGTATAAAATATTTAATCAGAATTATATAAAATAATAATTCTTATTAAATATTCTTTATCATGTTTGAGCCTGAAGGTTTTTAACATTTATAATATCTTAAAAATTCAGTATCTTAAATATGCAGAAGTTAAATTAACAACTTATGAGATATTTTATTGTTATTTGTTACAGGTGCGATCTCTTTGTAGAGACTGGTTTCCAATAGAATATCCGCAGTCATGGTATGAAGACATAACATCATCAGAGAGATTTTTTGCTCTTGCTGCGGTTTATAAATGTCAAATCATCGGTCTAATAGTGGCTGAAATTAAACCTTATTTAAAATTAAATACAGAGGACAGAGGAATATTGTCCAGGTGGTTCGCATCAAAGGACACACTTGTTGCATATATTTTATCTCTAGGTAAATACCTAATTTAATTCTATCTATCTGTATATTCATGCATCCTTTGTAGGAAAGGCAGAGCGGATCAAATACCAGAAAATATAGTCCCTTTAATATCTTCCACCAAATATAATTGTAACAAATGATTAATTTTGTTCACAAAATATTTATAATATAAGACTAATCAATATATTACACAAAAATATATTTTTGAAATGATTATTCTGAGAAATGTGATAATGTATTATTAATTTTAAATTTTCCAGGAGTGGTTCGGTCATACAGACGATCAGGTGTGGCTACAATGCTCCTGGATGTTTTAATCAACCATCTGTCTGGTCCTATGCCACAGCCACCCCATGAGCATCGAGTAAAGGCTATCTTCCTTCATGTCCTCACTACTAACTCAGAAGCTATACTCTTTTATGAAAAGAGAAGGTAAGCATTACTGCTTTTGCTACTTCTACATGAATTTCAGGATCAGGCCAGATTATATATTACATTAAGTGATCTTTATCATGTAATTTTTATATTCTTCAATTCAGATAATGCTTACTTAATGTGATTATTTAAAATTGATTACATATGGATTTAGAAAAGAAGGTTTCAATTTGAATATCTATAAATATCACTACAGATCATCCACACAATTCCCTTTCATAAGCCAGTATCACACTTTAGTAACAATTCATTCCCCTTAACTGTAAAGTATTTTATGGATGACCTGTGAACTTAACTTTACATATTCATACTTGTTTCAAATCCCTGTTTGTAGTTGTTAACATTTACATAATCATAATTTTAATTCAGTTTAGTATGCTTTTCCCATTTAAATCTACTAAACAATCTTTGCCTACAGATTCCGCCTGCATTCGTTCCTGCCGTACTATTATTCTATAAATGGACGTTGTAAAGACGGGTTTACATATGTATATTATGTGAACGGTGGTCACGCGCCGTGGGGATTATACGACTACGTGAAGTACGTCGCGCGAGCGGCTTGGAGGGGGGGCGGACTATACCCGTGGCTGTGGGGAAAGCTACGCACCGCACTCACTATAGCGTGGCACAGGTAGTCCACGGCATGTATATACATTATTTTTATGATAAACCGAACATATTTTGTTCTATATTCCTTAAAGCTGTTTTAAAACAAAAATTACTAGATTTATTGATTAATGAATGAGATGTCTCAAAATTGGTCAATTCAATGTATATACATATGTACATCATCAAAAATGGTAGACAGAAGAACGTATAGATAAACAGAAACCTTAATATAACCTATTGGGGTTCGATTGTTTCATTTTAAGGTATTAAGGTAAAAAAAAATCTGATTTTTAGCGAAAAATACAAACTAGATGTTACTCTCAATTTTATTAGTGTTATATAATATGTATACTTGTTTTCAAAATAACTAAACTCAGCTAAAATTGAGTGCACTGTTTTATTAAGATTATCAAAACTAAAGGAAGCATGTTATCTTCCATCATTATTTCGCTGTAGGTCTGTTTTTCCTTAACTTTATTTGCCTATAATTTATATTTTGTTCATGTTATACACATGGCCTAGACATGTTGTCTACATATACTATGTAACATCTCCTAAGAAATAAACCTCAATCCACTGCTATTACTGGCGTTGACCTCAACAATGAAAATTTTTAATTTAACGAAACTAACGTATACAACAGTTGACTTTATCTGTTTACAGACACGGTTTACAATTGCGCGACGCGGCCTTTACATTGCGACGGCGACGTGCGGCGATACGAGACTGCGGACGCTTTCCTATAACTATGCAATCTTAAAACTGGCTGTATTATATTTAAGGTTAATCACAATACAGACTTATCGCACCACGTCGTCCGTTAAATCTCTGAAATGTGAAATAGTCCTTAGTTATAACGGTATAAAGCTGCACATTGTTCGGCAAATGTTATCGATTTACGAGTGCGTATCGTTTTCTGAAGTATGCGCGCTTATTGAATCGTTATTGGTAGACGTTGAACATTATCAAACCAACAATCGGTTTGATTATTCACTCGATTGTGTTATATGATATATATAGATGTAATCAATTGACATTTACTGTAAATTATGAATTTACATATTGATTTTTAATATATTTGTATACTATTATTTAATATGGACACAATACTATTAAGATATACTGAAAATTGATAAAATTTTCACTGAAATTATTTTATTTTCAATTGGTATAAATAACATCTGCTGTTTCCTATTTGACCTAAAATGGGCCAGTTGCCGTACAAAGTCAATTGAAACAAGTCTTAGCATTAAGGCGTTATTTTTGGAACATTGAATTTGTTAATGCGACTCGGGATACTCAATTATTTTTTAATTTATAAAAAGATTAGAATTTACAATTTATTAATTATAAAACAGGTAATACATAAAATTATAAATTATTATCTCATTCTATTAATAAAACATATGGCATTTATTTAATTAACTAACATTAATTTAAATGTTTTAATACATACCTACTTAAAATTCAAATAAAATGTAACATTTTCCTCTAAAATCATCCTGTAAAGTCAAATCTAACAAGAACGTCTGCTAAAACTCTCCTTTCATCAAGTACTCAATTTTATTAGTAGTTAAGTTTAAAGTAAAAAAAAAAACTATAGTTTCTATTTTCACTGTTGTTTCACTACAAAATGTAGAGATTTCACAGAAATGATTAATAATTTTCACGTTGAATTGATCAAATTTTACTAAGATAATAGTTGTATTTAGAATTCACGCATTTTCAGATATCACAAATGTTGTACATATGTCGTGTTATACAGTCAACAGCACGTCAGGTTATACAAAACTACTCGAATTTAAACTGTAATATATTGCGGGTAGTATTCATAATCCATTGAAAAAAATTTGACGTATTGTGATAACCTGATATGCAAGGCGTGTGTACATGACAAAAAGTCGTTAAAATAATTACTAAAAATATCATTGAACAATAATTTTGACACACTGTAGTTTTGTAATGTTATTGTGATTGTGACGAATCAAACTGACACATTATGAAACTGAAGATTTCGGGTGTTTTCCTCAAGGAAGAACCAGGTTTTCCTTATAGTTAGGTGGTTTTCCTTACAGTTATGTGGTTTTCTTTACGTAAAGGTTTCATTAATTTTGCTTATCAATGGATGGCGTTACAGTTTTTTCACGACTGCCCAAAAACCGTCCTAAATTACAAATATTCCACAGGACGGTACCCCTTACGATTTTGACTGCAATGTTTCTTTTCCATTTTAGTTCGATTTTGGCAGTCGCGTTTTTGTATTTTTAAATTATTTATTATAAATTTATGATTTGAAACTTTATGAGTGGAATGTCCGTAATCTATATCGTTATTTACCGGTTACTGCGTAATATTGTATGATGGACTAAAATTATTTTTTATTAAAAGAGGTTTTAATTTTTTATAAGCTTTTTTAAAGAAAAATAAAAATAAACCAATTATGCAGGGTGTAACATTTAGAGGGCCAGAATGGCAAAGTCTGAAACTATAATACTAAGATATATTATTAGGATCCATGTTACCAATATTAGTGACAAGAAGAAATGCATTCATACTTTAAAAAAAAATAGTTCGGGAATAAAACCCGGAAGTTTTGAAAAATAAAAGTTAATTATTTCTACTTAGATACCAATTATGTAGGTCCTAAGCAGTTAATGTTACTTGAAATATTATATCTAAAATTTAGTTTTTTTATTAAAAAAGGCGTAACAAACTAAAATTATACATACAAATGAAAGAGTATAGGCTTTTTAACTGGTAATTAAATAGTAATATAACAAATTGGAACACTGGTGCCATCTGTTGACAAGTTATAAAGAATGAAATCTTTATCCTTAAAGAAACAACGTCTGATTACCAACTTAATTCGAAATAAATTTTACTAGTAAACTTAAACATTTAATTTTATGAATACTATCAAGTATACAGTTTTTAATTAAGTTTTGTATAACAACCTTTGCTGACACTACCTAACATAAATCAGTTTTGCAAGTAAGAACTCATATTAACATTTTCTGAAGAGTTACTCTTCCAAGATAAATAATTTATAATGTAATAAACGTCTATAAAAACATATTGTGTCAGTTTAAATTAATATGTTAAATTTTTTGTGATAATTTTAGTACTCTAAAAGCTTTAAATTCGAATTGAGACGCTGATACCGGAGTAATTTCAGTATATTGACGGATTTCTTTTTAGTGATGACAGAATTGAAACAAATTATTTATAAGAGGTTTTTTTTGCGATAACGTTGTCTATGCAGTATTGTGTGCCATGATTAACTGCCAAGAAAATTAAAGTAAGGTGCCTGTGTGTTCAGTAATTTATGGTATAATCTTATAAATTAACTTGGAACGTCGTGTGAAAGCTATATTTTTCGGCATAATATATGGCGTAAATTTTACAATACAAATCTATTAACCTTGACGACGTTTTTTGCCAATATTGAGTTTACTGATATACTAACAGAATAAATTACTAATGCCAATACAGGGTTAATTGTTAAATGCCAGCAAGCTCGTAGACTATATAACAAGATAATTGAACGTATATATAAGTCTACGTTTTATATATAAACGAAAGGACGCCAATATAGCGCGCTATACAAATTACCAACATATAAGTTACATTAGAGAATATTCTCGCGACTTCACCCGTGTTAAATATAGCCTTTATCACTAGTGTATAATGTAACTTACTATTTAATGCCGTCGATGAAAAATAATAAAAAGCCAAATTAGAAAATAACGCCATCTGTTGGTGCAGAAAAATATCGTAATCGCAATGTTCCATATTTAAACTTATCGAAGTCTGTTAACCCTTAAATGCATAGCGTTTCAAAAATGAAACGGTAAATTTATGCCCTTGTAGAACAAGGTATTTGTTATGTGCGGACTTGGCTGTATGGTTATTTGATGCCTCAGTCCATAATTAATTTGAGTGAATTAAAAAAATAACAGCCATAGATTAGCGTGCGGCGCGAAATGTCATTTTAAAAAAATTTGGAGCTTCTTTGGCGCCAACTACTATTTACTGAATTTGCAGTTTGTGATTAAAATTAAATTAAAGAGTACTTTTATCCGTGCAAAAATAAATTGTATTGGTAAGTTTGTCTATTTTTTTATTATGCTTCTGCTTTTTGGTTATATACCTGAATTATATGTTTTTTTCTCAAAAAATGTAATGTTTCAAAAATGATACAGTATGCAATAACGGTATGATGATTGGTGTGCTATTGTATGCGACAATTTTGGTGGTGGTTGAATGTTTATGCATGGTTTTATGTGCTTTTTACAGTGATGGCTTCAAAAGCATGCTCAGATGACCAAATAGAACATATTCTTCGAAGATTGGAAGCAGGTGACATATCAGAGGATGACTGTGAGTCTGAAGGAGACGATTTGGATTTCTATCCCACGAGAGAAGAGTTACTACAGGTACTAGAAGATGACTTTCCGCCTACTAATGATGATGAGACTGGTAATGATGAAGGCAGATCAGATCCTCCACTTATATGTGATGATGAGTATATTCATGTCTCATCTTCTGCCGCAGACCAACGCATCCCAATCAGGCAAATGATATGGAAAAAGCAAAGCTTTCCATTCGATGAAAATAGAATGAGATTTCAGAGCGACACGCCTCTTTCTTCAGATGTAGTTAATCTAGACACTCCTTTTAATTTTTTTTCGTACTTTTTTACAAAAGAACTTTTGGAAGAAATAGTACACGAGACCAATAAATACAGCGTACAAAAAAATCCAGCTCGTCCAGATACGATTACCGTTACAGAGTTGCGTCAGTATTTTGGTATTCTTGTATATATGTCCGTCTTTCGGTACCCAAGTGTACGTTTCTACTGGAACACTAAGCATGCTTTTACCCCCATATCAGAGACTATGGCACTAAATAGATTTGAAAAGATTAGAAATATCCTGCATTTTAACGACAATGAAAAGCATATGCCACAAGACCATCCAAATCATGATAGACTTCATAAACTAAGACCAATAATAGACCACCTAAATAATAAATTTGGATCCATACCTTATGACCAACGTCTCTCAATAGACGAGCAGATGTGCGCCACTAAGTTAGCTCATTTCATGAAACAGTACTTGCCCAACAAGCCCCATAAATGGGGTTTCAAATTATTTGTCATGTGTTCTTTGCAAGGATTTGCCTATCAATTTGAGATTTATTCTGGCAAAATGATTCATGATCGTCTTTCGACTGAGCCAGAACTTGGTGCAGTTTCTGATACAGTTGTCAGACTAACACGAGGTGTGCCTAGAAACCGCAACCATATAATTTATTTCGATAATTTTTACACCAACATACCGCTTATGCATTATTTTGCTCAACACGGAATTTATTGTCTTGGAACCGTTCAACGTAACAGACTAGGTAAGAACTGCAAATTACCTTTAAAAGCTGAGGTTATGAAGAGTAATGTACCGAGAGGTGATTACGTTGAAAACGTCTCCAGTTACGAAGGAACACCAGTAACCGCCGTTAGCTGGAAAGATAATAAACAAGTGATACTCCTCTCCACATATGTTGGAGCAGATCCCATTGAGACAATCGAGAGATACGATAAAAAAGAGAAGAAAAAGGTGACTATCCCTTGCCCAAGACTGATAAAGGAATATAATTCGCATATGGGTGGGGTCGACCTAATGGACAGTTTTTTAGGTCGATACCGCATTCATATGAAAAGCAGAAAATGGTATTTGCGTATCTTTTATCATCTTTTAGATATCACCATTATAAATTCCTGGGTTCTTTATCTAAAAGTAAATAAACAAAAGGGAATCCATCCAAAGAACCTTATGAACTTGGCGGAGTTTCGCGCTGACTTGGCTGAAGCTCTGTGTAAATATGGAACACACAGAGAGAATAAGAGGGGAAGACCTAGCTCAAGCATTGAAGAAGCAATAGCCAAAAAGAAAAAAAATTGTATCATCCCAGCGAAGCCACCCAAAGATGTTCGTCTTGACAAAGTTGGACATGAACCAATAACGACTGATAAAAGAAGGCGTTGTCAGTACCCTCAGTGCAAGCTTTTGAGCTCTATAAAGTGTTCAAAGTGTAACGTTATTCTTTGTTTTAAAAAAAAATGTAATTGTTTCGTCCTTTTTCATAACAATTGAAACAATATTCTTACCTTATTTTATAATAAATATATATAATACATTTTTATATTAAAAATTCATAACTTTTATTTTTTTACCTTTAATGCATACTGTCTCATTTTTGATACACTACTTTTTTTCTATAAAAAATACTTAAAATGTGTATTTAGATTTTTTTTATATTTTTCCATTAAAATACCCATTAGCCTGAATATAATATATTTTTTTCCATTTAATATTAAAAATCATGCATTTAAGGGTTAAAGTAATACTAAAACTCAATTTTACTAACAATAATCATTCAAAGATTTCGTGATGACCTATCAGTTGTCTATGGCTGTTTAAAAACACTAATTAACGTCGTAATCGTGCGTGGTAGTGGTCTATGTGTATACTCATCGCAAACCAAAGTATTTTTAATGCTTTCATAATGTTTTTTTTTTTGTTATAATAACTCATATTTTCTATGGTTTATTAATATATAAAGTATTAAATTAATTGTTAAGTGTTTTTAATGATAATGAGTATTAATTTTGGACCACAGTATAAATTATTTGATAATTCCAATAATTTTGTTATTATGTGATATTGTGTATGTTTTTCACTAAAAAAAACTCTGTTATTCGGCTCGAAAATGTGTATTTTGTGATGTGTAGAGGCTAATTGGCCTACGTTTTTAACACTAGCACTTTTTAGTAATAAAAAATATTAAATATAAAGTTTATGTTATATTTCTACTCTACACTTTTAGTACATGACTATTATGGAAAAAGAATTTAGCTTCCAAATAAATATAATTGTTGACTACAAAGAGTTTTCTTTTTTATCAATACAGGGTGATAAATGAAAGGGGCCTTTAACAATTTCAGAAAATCTTTAATTTTAATAATTGCTTCTTTTTTTCATCAACTATGCTGTACAAACTATATCGCTTAAATTAGAATTAGCAATTAATAATTGCACGTAAAAAAACTTAACAAATAGGTATCTTCAACTTTTCGATTGGAATGAACAATTATTACATTACATGGTAATAATATATTTTACATTATTTATAACCCTACTAAATGAAAATCTCTATTCAAAAAGCAGTCACAATCGCTCAATGATATGTTAAAATTATTTATTTATATTTCAATAATTTATTGCGATCTAAGTATTACTGCGGGTTGTGGTTGGCAGTGCTGGTGGGGCGAAGGCCTACGAGACGAGACCGTCACGCTCCTGGGCGCTGCTCTTCAGGTTTTGCCCTTTGAAATCTTTGAGACGAATAGGCGACGACTCGCTTCCCGAATCACCCTATAAAAAAAGTATATTTGTAAACAAGATAAAAATATTCTGAACTCGGCATGTGGGCCTTATTTACCGATGAAAATGAGTCAATGGTTGCTAATTCTATGGAAACTCAAAACTAAACAAACTAACAATTTTAATTTTGGTTTGTTTTGGAGTTTTTTGTCATATTAAATCAAATTAATATAATTATACTCATGAGTCATCATCATCATCATCAGCCCTTTTACGTCCCCACTGCAGGGGCTCAGGCCTTCCTTATGGATGGTTAAGGAGGATGGGCCATGACCCTCCACGCTGGCCCAATGCGGATTGGAGGGTATGAACGACTGCAAATGCAGCCGGGACCAACGGCTTAACCTGCCTTCCGAAGCACGGAGTAGCTCGAGATAATAATTTTTTGGTCACCCATCCCGTGACCGACCCTTGCGAAAGTTGAAAGTTGCTTGATCGTGGGCCACGGCGCTTATCCACTACGCCACCGAGCTACACAGTTTTTTACTCATGTATACTACGATATTAATATAATAAATTGACTTTTATTATAGTACTAATTACATAATTGAAAATGCAGTTTGACAGATTAGTTTATGAAACATAATTACTACCATTGCGTATTAGAAAAAAGTGTCATCAGCCCATAAACTAAGCAAAAACCAATTAGAAAAGCCGAAAAGAGAATTGATAATAAATTTATTTTGTTTGAAAAAGAAGAAATATATCTGTAGTAAAGAGAATATTGGAGAAACATAAAAATAAGCAACATGAAAACAGGATGAAGACGAGGGTATCAAAATGGGGAGCACTTGACATATTTGTATTGGTCACTATCTTTAGCCCAGTGGTTTTTAACCTTTCAATCATTACAGACTATTTGACAAATTTCTATCTGGTCATGGACCACCACTTGGTCTATTATGCACCTAAATCTAAATAAAGTGGTTAAGAACTGCTCTAGTCCAATATAAAAGACTAGCGGCCTGTCCCGGCTTCGCATGGGTATCGGTCCAGTATTTTCGGAGTCTATTAAATACAAACAAACAATCTAATCTTTTCTCTATATAATATTACTATATAGTAATTCAACGTTTGATGTCGCCAAATAGTCGATCGTTCGCTTGGCGGTGTGCGACGAGGCGTTGTCGTGGTGAAGGAGGATCCTACTGCGAGGTCGTTTCTCTCGAACTTTTTCCAAGACAAGTGGCAAACAATTGGTAGTGTACCATTCTGCAGAAACTGTTTTTTGATCCTCTAACACAATTGTTGCAAAATGACCTATCCTTCCAAAGAACGAGGCCACCATTTTTTTTCCCGCACTTCGATCTCTCTTCACTTTAGTTGGCAACTCCTCGAAAGGAAACACCCACTGAGCAGATTGTCTTTTGGTTTTAGGATCATAACAGTAAATCCAGCTTTCGTCACCTGTTAGTATGTCGAACACAGCATTTGAGTCACCTCCGTTAAATCTTTCAATCATTTTACGACACCAATCCACACGATGGAGTTTTTGAGCCTCAGTCAAATTATGAGGTATCCACCGGGCGCAAAGCTTCCTGACCGCTAAATGTTCGTGGAGGATTTTGTGCACTTGACTCATACCGATGCCTAAGCTTGTCCGAATCTGTTGATAGGTCACTCTTTTGTCAGTCTCTATCATACGCCGCACAACACAGATGTTATCTTCAGTCGTCGCCGTAGAAGGCCGTCCCTCACGTAAATCATCAGTGAGATTAGTGCGACCACGTTTAAACTCATTAAACCAGTTGTAAACAGTCGCACGAGATGGGGCTTCATCGTGAAAGGCCAATCGTAGTCTATCATAACTTTCTTGTTGACTTAAATGACATCGAAAGTCATAAAAAATCATTGCACGAAAATTTTCTCGTGTTAAATTCATGATGACGTGACACAGACAATTTTCAATTTGCCGCCAAATCGTAAAACAAATGACAAATGAATGAAATATATACTCAGTAATATTGGCAAAGAGTTATATTTTCAAATTTTAGAATTATTTTTTTATTATATTGTTTATAAGTGGCCAGTTCTAAGAACTTTCAGTTTGACCCTCGTAACTGACTCGTCCGAATTAACATGACACCAACTCTGTTTCTCCGAAAACGAAATTTTGACTATTTTCGAAATGCTAATACGACTCCAAAGAAAAGCATTTCTCGATAAATTTATGATGCAACAAAAGTAGAACCAGGTATAATGCCTCTGATGCACAGATAATCTTCAGTGATATAATTTTAATAAAATTATATTTACGATTCGAAGTTTTCGGGATTTACGTTCATGGACAAACACAGTAGAGGATCTAAGCACTGGCGGACTAAAGGGGACAAATGGGCTCCCACAATATCAAGTTTCTGTCCTAGTTGGAAAATGTTTTCGATCCGGGCTTATTGCCGCGGGCTTCCGGTGAGATTAGTACGCCACTGGATCTGAAAGCCTACCTATTTATTCTTTTTGTTCTGATACGAAAATTTTGAATCGTTCTTAGTACAGTTTTATATCCGTGATGATAATCAGATCGAAAAATACGTATATTAGCAATTTGAAAATAAACTAATTTTCGTTTATGGAGAAATAAAATAGATCTGCAGGTGTCATATTAATTTGTACGAGTAGTAAATAAAAGTTAAACCTACATTAGCCCCGAGGGAGGTACTTTCTTGAAGTAGCAACTCGCTGTCTGTGCCGCGCGCCTCCTTATTCTTTAGTATGGATCGCGAGCGCGAGTCGCCTTCTAGCGGCCAACCACCACCTCGTTTGTTACCATTTTTACCTACAACAACAATATTTACTGCCAAAAAAGAGAAAAAAAAACCAGCTAACGATAATTTTTCGTTTCGTTTGCGTTTAGCGGTGGTTTTTAGTTTTCAGATTTTATGGCAATAATCGAAATATTACCAAAAAGTATGTGGTGATTGATTATCCTCGTAGCTATCCCTCTCGGCGGCCTCTTCTCCTCCTCCGTCCATTCCTGGAACGCAACAGAATTTATTCAGACGCTGAAAGAAATCACGAAATATGTTCCAATATTTGACATTGAAAAAGGTCATGCATTCAACATTTAACAAATCAAACATAGTAAACATCAATTAAACCGTGTATGTAACATGCAAACAGACATTACGTTAAAAAAACAAAAGGTTTTGAACTCATGCATTTTGTTACTTGTAGACATAAGTTAGAGCCAGTAAAGTCTTGTAGTAGTAGATAAAATGATTATATACCAATTTTTCAGATTTTTAGATATTCAGAAATTATAATAACTTAAATTTCCTCTAAAAATAAATTGTCTTATTTTTACCCCCCTTCAGCTGTCGGATATTTTAAGATTAGTAGTGATTTTATACTTAAAATCTTACTATAATATCGTCAACAGTGAATACTATCAAAAACCGTCCAGTTTTAGCAATTTTTATGCTGATTGATTCTCCTTTTTAAAAACACGGGAGCGTTGGTATCCCTTCGTCTTGGTTATTCCTCACCTGTTGAAAACGTGCCTTCCTATGTTTGGGCTTGGCATCATCGTTAGATTCGTCCGCTTGGAGCGGAGAGCGCGCCGGCTCCGGCAGCGGTGCCCCCGCCAGACTGCCACGCGACCCCCGCGGCGACCCCTCGCCCTGCGAACCTTGCGCACATAACACGCCCCCGTCCCCTGAAGCACTCCTGCGCACACCTTTAAACTCGGAACCCCCGCCCCCCGTGCTGCCGCCGCTACCGTCCAGAGGGTTCACATATAAGTTTGACGAGTCGTTCTCGCATGCGATGTCGCCCTCTGAAGGAAAAGGGTGCGTAAGGCATGATGCAAATGTATCTGCAACGTAAGACAGACGCACATGGAGCGAAGTGTTCTGTGGCGCCTGTAAACGAACACTAATAGTAATAGTACACACAAACAATAAGGTAATACACGTGCCGGAAAAACCATTACGTGAACTAAAGTGAAATAAATTAAAACATTTAAATTTGTACAATCAAGACATAGGACGCTACGGGTATTGATTATAAACACTAAATTACAATCAAAAGTTACGTTACTAACAGCCAGTTGCACAAACGCCAATTAAAATTTTCATTAGTTTAAAGTGACATTACCCATACAATATTGACATTCTTTAGAGCTTAAAGCCGTCATTAAACCTTAATAGACGCTTATGCAACTGAACGTAAGACCATTCATATAATGGGCATCGCTTAAAAAGAAGGAGATATTGAACAAACGTAAACATTTCGATCTGACTCTACATTATTTAATTAAATAAATAAGTTAATAGTACTGTTTAAGCGATATATCAAATAATCATCTTAGTAGATTTGCCATGTAATAATTGTTGACATTTGTTCAGCGATGGTAAAGTCGCGGTGTCGTACCAGGGCTATCGAGGCTATTGGGCGTGGCCTCTGGCAAAGCCTTGGGTGCGGGGTGCCGCTGCAGACAGGCGAGCTCCACACACACCGGTTGCCGCAAATCTGATGTTGACATCGGCATCAGTTGCTCCGCGTCTATGAACTCCTTGTAACCCTGGCGAACACATTCTATCATAACATATTGCAAACTTTCTACAAATCACGTGCATTTCATACGAAAGGGAGTAAAAGTCAAGAGAATTGATAAGGAAAACAAAATAAAGTCTTTAAAGCACTACGTAAAATTAGCTTTCAACTAGGTACGTATAATAAATCTTGTAACTTAAAAATAGATAACTAATTTATAACACAATTTTCGCTACAATAGCATTTAATAGAGATTGTAACCGATGCGTTTGGTACCAGTAGGTCATTATTAATAAATAATTAGCATACTTACAGTAACACGGCACGGGTTGAATGAACTTAATGTGAAATCGTTAAAATATTTAATAACAGATGCCATTTAGGTTGCAAATAAAAATATAGTGTTATTTTACATTAAAAATTGCATATGGTTGCGTTGTTATTGATGTTAGTATATTTAGTACCTTGAACGTGCAAAAACAACATTCAAACTCAGAAGGCAGCTGATCCAAGTCAAGCTGTTTGTCAGCCATCTTCTTTTCCTAGAAAAAGACATTTCATTAGTTGTTATTATTTTGACTTCAGCGGTGAGGTTAAAAGCTACGTAGTGTAAAAAACCATCCTTACATTAAGTCTGATATAATAAAGCTTAAGCGATATAATTAGTTTTATTGTATATCATTAAAATACGAAATCATTTTTCATAATTTTATTAAGTGTGTACTTTCAGTTTTCGAGATTTATTTCCGCATTATCTGTAATATATTAGCGGTCGCTATGCGAGTGCTAAGCATTGTAATATTGCAGTAGAATTTTAAAGAAATTATAATATCTTACTGGTGTTGGATCAGGATTTATGAGCAAGCGTTTCTCCGGTGATTCTGGACCTTCGTTAGAGTACCGACGTTCTTTCTTAGGGCTACTCTGAAACTGTGAACTACGGTGTTAGCGGAAAGCCCATCGTGCGTTATATCGCTTAATGGGTGCGCCCATAATTTTGAAACATGCTTCGGTGTTTCCATTGCACATTAAAAATAAAAACTCTGAGCTCTGGTTGGTATTGTGGCCAATCACTTTTATTGCATCGAGAATCAGTGCTGGTGCTTGAATTAAAAGTGACCCATAGATTGATATAAGTAGACCTATGTATAGTTACTAAAAAAAACTTAAGTTTTGAAAGTGGAAACTATGTACCTAAACTCAGACCAAGCAGAATTATCGAGGAATTTCAATTATTCCCCATAATCTATAGTATAGATAGAGCTTTTCAATTATTCATTATATGAATTTGTTTTTAGAGCGATGAAATATCCCTTCAAAGCGACTTTTTTATTCTTCCGCTTAGTCAAAGTTGACTACTAAAGTTCCTTCAGTTAAAATTGACTCTGAGGACAACTAATGTTCTTTACTTGCTAGTATTATTATCGGCTCACCCTGTGTTAGCAGTGGACGCACCCATCCATTCGGACGATGCCCTTACCTGATTAGGATCAGTACTCTGGGGTATCTTATTGGAGATAGCATGCTCGTATTGTTTGTAGCAGCCGGTGGTGGCCGGTGCTTCTCCCTCCAAGCTTGTGGCATCCGCCTGCGACAGGTTATGTCCTGAAGACACATACCACCATCAGTAGCGACAATTTCCATTTCTCTTTCCATAGTGGTCGCATTATAGTAGCAGCTTATATAGAATTTATTTATTTAGGTCCATTTATAATTAACGAGCGGATAAGATTTAATGACTAACGAACAAGAAGTAGCAGCGTGAACTACACAACACACATTCCACACAAACGGTCTAAATCCAGCGTCCTCCGGATACACACATCGGACAGTCCACAGAATGGTTAGTTCTAGAAAGCGTTAGGCTTACGCTGACAATGCTATCGACCTTATATTATAGTGTCTTCGTTGCACATCGCAAGCTATACGCGACGCGAGCACGACCCAAGTAACGGATATAAATATAAGGGTCGAGTGTGACGACTGTGCGATAGTACCAAGTAGCTCATCTGGTGTCGTCTCTCGCCTCAATGAGGACGCACTTGTCACCTGAAGACAAGGAATAAAACACTCTTGAGTGCACCTCGTTGGAACGAACGCGTGAAGATAGCTGTAGCTGCCATGTAACGTGAACTGTTCTGAATTTGAAGATGTCTGCTAGTCCGGAGAGCTAATCGATACGACACATGCGTTCATTCAACACTCATTGCATTCATTAACACATATGAAATGAAAACGAAGAACATGCGTGCATGGTGAAAGAAGAGATAGATATACACGAACACGAAACACATGACTATGACTTGAAAAGCGGCGCAAGCAAACAGCAGTGGGTACTACTGACCTGTATCCACGATGACATCGATGAGATCCATACTCTTGGCGAAAGCATCACGCAAGTTTATATGGTGAAATGAGACGATGGAGCCCTCACGCTTTGCGCGCTCAAGCGCCTCCCGCCTCTTTAACGCCTTCTCCCGCCGCATCTGATTCTTGTAAAACTCGGCGAAATTGTTGACTATAATCGGGATGGGTAACGCAATTACCAACACGCCGCAAATACAGCAAACTGAGCCGATGACCTTGCCCAACGGGGTCGTGGGGTAAATGTCACCGTATCCGACTGTGGTCATGGTGATGCCGGCCCACCAGAACGTTTCCGGAATGGAAATGAATTTAGTCCCCGGTTCTTCCTTTTCAGCGAAATATGCTAACGAAGAGAATATGAGCACTCCCATCGCAAGGAACAGCATGAGTAGTCCCAGTTCTTTATAAGAGTTTCTGAGCGTAAAACCGAGCGATTGAAGCCCTGTAGAATGTCGGGCAAGTTTGAGGATTCGCAGTATTCGCATAATTCGAAAGATTTGTACTACGCGGCGTACATCTTGAAACTGGTCAGTCGCGTTCTTATTCGTTTCGAGAAGAAAAAGAGATACGAAATACGGCAATATAGCCAGCAAGTCTATAACGTTGAGTCCACCTTTGAAGAACTTCCACTTATCCGGTGAGGCACTGAATCGCAGCACATACTCGAGCGTGAACCACGTGATGCACACGGCTTCTACCATGGCCAGCTGCGGGTTGTCCATGGGCGCACCCTTCTCGTCGTACACTTGCATCTGAGGTATCGTGTTGAGAGTGAGCCCTATCGTGGACAGCACGATGAAGAGGATCGATATCACTGCAATCACCTGCAATTATGCTACAAGTGAGCGACGAGTGACCAAAGCGCTCCTCCCATCGCGCTGCCTATTAACACGGGTGGCACATATGCACCGCATTTATGTGTCAGGTTGTTTCATTGTGCCAGTGTCTATACAAAACTAATTTTCCTACAAATTTTGTACATGGGTAGAGCTACCTACTAGTTATCATACAGGTAGGTATAGTCATAACAATGTAAGTATGTAGGTAGGTAGTATTTACAAGACCATGATAATAAAGCCAATATCTTACGTAATAACGTCTTAAAATAACGCATAAATTTTGGTGTAAAAATAACATCTATTCGTGTGATTATGTTAGTAGTGTTGTGTGATCGAAGTGTAGATAGTATCTCTAAGATAGTAGTAATATTACATGTGGGTGAACGGACGTGCGTTCAGTCCCAAGATACGCTCGTCCGTCCATCGCTCGCGCCGCTCAGTTAGTCGGATCAGTATCACGAAGCGGAAGCATCGGTGGGGGACCGGAGCCGAGAAAGGATTTAGTTAGAGGGTAGAGACGGGAAGGCGTCAGGGGGGTAGAGATGAAGGAAGCAAGGGTAAAGAGAGGAGTGGGACGCCGGCGGAGCGACACTCAGCCGTAATGCGAGGCGGCGCGGGCGCGGCGTGCGCACGACGCACACATGTCCGACGGGCGCAACGCCGTCCCGTGCCCCCCCGCACGCAGGCCCTCGAGCATCGCAGGCAGCGGCTGGTCACATCGCGTAAGCCCATCCCATATTGGCAATTTTGCGACAACAATTAAGCTTTGTTTTTATTAATCTCCATTTGGAGAACGTACGACGCGGCTGTGAACATTTATAAAAAAATAATTGTAAAATAATTAATTACACACAATGGTTCTCGTCTCTTCTTTCTCTTGATTGCAGAATAACCGTTTTTATACAGAGAGCATTGATAAGTGAATTTTTAAAATAAATTTTCTATGTTAATTAATTTTAATGTTAGTGTAAAATCCACTATTATAATTAATCAACCTTTCACTATTGAATCTGTATTTTTAGAAAATAAAAGTTCTAAATTCAGTTTAAAAATCCACCAGAACAAGTTTTGTTAGAAAATCCATCAAGAACGCAAAATAAAATGTATTGAAAAACCAAATTGAAATAAAACTAAACCGCTTGTGCAAATATAGAAATGTCATACCTTGAAGTATGCCGCTGTTTAATTTAAATAATACAAATTGAAAAAGAAAAAAGTGATTATGTATTAACGCAATTTATTAACATAAAAAATAATGACTAGTAAGGGGTTATTTACCTGCGGGTATAAAGGAACACCATAATTATTTATACTTACACACGTATTAGCACCGCTGTTGTCGAAAAAATAAATATCAACTATCTACAGAAAAGCAAAAACTTTGGTAACATCGACTCTAACTATTAGTTTAGGTTTGGATTCGACAAAAGCGATCACATGTCATTTCTCACATAACACTAATCACAATACACAATTAGTACACAACACCACATTCCATAATTACGATCACAGAGGAAAATAACAATATAAATAGAGGTACAATCAACAACACATACAGTACAGGATGGAGCAGAGATAGATGTTATTCATGCACCACATATCTACACAAATAACATTGTAATACAACTTAATAATTCACACGCGTATAGTTTACTATGATTAGGTATCACACACTCACAAATAACTTGTGTTTTTTGTAAGAGGTCTGTACGTATAAAATACAAAATAAGAACACATTTTTTTCTGAAACTTCAGAAATATGTATGTACTGCGGTAATTTAATAAAATTTATACAATTTACAACCAGTTGCACAAACGTCCATTAAAATTGACATTAGATTAAAGCGTCATTATCCATAGAAATTTACATTCATTTGACCTTAAAGGCGTCATTAAACCCTAATGGACGATTGTGCAACTGACCGTTAGACACATAAAGCAACATACAGCATATAAAGACTTTTCCATGTGCGACTATAGAAAATATTGTCGTGTCAGTGCTAAAAAGCCGTCATACCTTGCTTTTGAAAAAGTTTTAAAGAGTCATGTCCACTTTCCATACATCGATTAACCTTTCACAAGTTTTTTAAAGGTCGCGTCTACACACTATTCGTGATAATTTAAATCAGTTTTTTCATAACATAGAATAATATTTTAGTATCTTTACATCTGGAGGCCAGAGAGATTCGCAATTTGTAAATAATGTTTTGAGATTATAACAATTTCGAAAGTCAAGATAATTGTGAAGCTTCTTTAAAAAATTAAGACATTTAAATCAAAGCGTTTTAAAGTTTGACTCGTTACTGTGAAAATAAATCTAAATATAATTGTTAATGTGCATTTCTTTACCATATGACGAAATAGAAACAAAACGTAGAAAAACCGTCATTAGGTCCGAATCGCATTGATGTAGTGTAGAAACCGTCATTTTAGAGTCCGATTCGCATTTGGGTAGTTTTCATAGTACTATTTAAAAATAAATAAAAGCCTCGCAATTTTTATCCTGACTTTATTTTAAGATTTAATTTCCTGATATGAAATAAGTAAAAAAGAAGCTACATTTTTAGATATATAATATCACTAGAAGCGTTAGTAAATGAGGTCAAAATCGGACATGATTCTTTATTTTAGTGAATATATATATTCACTAAAATTCTGTAACACAGACAGCTAGAAAGTTGTGATAGGTAGTAGTACTATTTGAAGTGTATAGTGATCATATTGTTAAATTTATATTTTTACTTTAAATGAAATGCAATCTCATTCAGTAAATTTGCTAAGTGTAAAATTAATAGTATCTAGTAGTCAAAAGAAACTCGTATACCTCTTGTGAATAAATATGACCATCCCATGGCAGCGTTGCTATAGTGGCAGGATTAGATTAGATTTGAAAGTAGTTATAATTTTGTAAAGGATTTCCAATACTTTACCCTAGCTGCGATACTGGTGGTGGGTTTCTCAAGTAGATCCCATAGCCACTTTTGGTACTGAGCGCAGGTGCCCTGACCGAACTCTTCCTCCTCCCGCTGTCGGAGACTCTCCGCTTCCTTCCTCATTTCTTCGTGTACGTGCTCCTTCCTCTGATGGTACTTGTGTTGGCAACATGATTCCAGATATAGCTCATCTACACCCCAGTACTCGAGGTCATCGCTGAAGGCGAGCACACACATCTCGTCCACTAAATGCAATTTTCCAGTGCGGTAGAAATTTAAAATGGAACTGAAGCTTTTCGGGTGTCTAGAAGATAACAAATATTTCAATTAGAACTTTAAAATATTTTTCATAGAATAGCAGTTATTATTGCTTTATAGTTTTATAGTCAATCTTAAGTGAAAACATCATGGAAACGTGATGCCAGACAAGAGTAGATACATCAGGCATTTAGTCAGAATCTCTGATGTCTCATGTGTCTTTTATAGTTTGTGTTCAAAACTATTCTGGAATTAATAGATTTTATCAATAAGATCTATTCTGGAAATTAAAAAAGCTAACACTCCAAGATATTCAGTAGGTCAGCCTTAAACTACGGCTATCCGATACCGCTTCCGTCCTGAGATAAATAGGCTAAAGTGAGGCCGGCCTACCTGGTAAAACCACCTGCGAGTAAACTCAGGGCAGGAGAAGGACCCACGATTCAGCAAGAACCACGCCGGGTCCAGTCCCACTAGTAGGTACTAACCTATCGAAAAAGTACTCGTTGTCCTGGAGCGAGTAATCGTCGCAGAGCTCTGTGATGGCCTCATGAGTGTTACAGTCACGTAATCTACCCAGTCGCGTGTGAGGCAACCGTTCCAGCGTCCGCCACAATACTTCGTGTCGCACACCGCCAACGTTGATGATCACTCGTTTGCTCAGCGCTTTCGCGCGGAGCATCATAAACGGCTCCGGTGGCAACGACGACATCGACCTGGAATCAAGATAGGTGAGCTCATTAAATATGTGTGCAATAAATAATTCACCGTATTCAATTCTGTACAAATAACAAGAAGTCTTTTCTTAATACAAAATGTTTAAAAAATCCACTTTGTCCGTGGCATCCTGAGATGGGATTCGAACCCACGACCTTTCGCAATCCGGGCGACTGCTCTAACCACTGAGCTACCCAGGACCTAACAGGACTGACGAATCTTTCAAGCAAATTGATCAGATATATTATATTATATATTGATAAGAAGTCTTTTCTCTACAACTCATCATGTTAGTATGTAGTTACGAGTAATAAATACTTATAGATATTTTTAACAAAAAATGCCTACAAAATTCACTTTTTCCCTAGTACTCTGAGATCCAGAGACAAAGTGGATTTTTTAAGTATGATTCATTAAGAATATTTTCCGATATAGTATTCTAAATGCAAAATCGATCAAATATAATAATCATCATCATTAGCCCTTTTACGTCCCTTAGGCCTTCCTTATAGATGGTTAAAGAAGTGGGCCATGACCCTTCATGCTGGCCCAATGCGGATTGGAGCGTATTAACGACTGCAAAAGCAGCCGGGACCAACGGCTTAACGTGCCTTCCGAAGCACGGAGTAGCTTGAGATAATAATTTTTTGGTTACCCATCCCGTGACCGACCCTTGCGAAAGTTGCTAAACGACATCGATCGCGGGCCGCGGCGTTTATCCACAACGCCACCGAGCTACTCATATAATACTTACATATAGTTTAGAAACTTAATAATCTCAATAGCACGGTATCTTACGAGCACCTCGGCACGGTACGTGGCCGAGGTGCTCGTAAGCTCAGTCCAAGGTATCAATCACCTCTCTCTTAGGTTCCAGGTTCGGTTCCTGGTCGGAGCAATGTGGAAAATGAACTCATCTACATTTCCTCGGGTTTGGGTGCAGTGGCAACTTCGTTGCTTTAGACGGCCATAAATATAAGTGTCTTAACAACTTAATTTTGAATTTAAGCAATATATGTGGTATTGTCCAATATTTATTATCATCGAGAAATGCCTTTTGCGTAAACCTATGACTTTGAAATCACTGTAGTTTTTTATATACCTTCAAGCTCGGAACCCACCACGCTGCAGATGAATTACCGTGGAGCGCTCTGGTTCTCTTTTTGTTCAGATGAAAAACGTAAATTGTATCAGGTACCTGGAGTGCGCCCGCTGCAGCGCGGCATTGCTGGCGAGCGCTGGCGCAGGCGCAGGCGCGAGCCCGCGATCGAGCAGCGCGTCCTGCGCGGGCGCCGCGAAGCCCATGGGCGCGCGCGGGGGCGAGTCGCCCACGTGCCAGCGCGCGGCGCCGCGGCCCGCCCCCTCGCCCCCCATGCCCGCTAGCTCATGGCGCCGGACGCCGCCGCCTCATCTGCATAAAATTATTGTGCTCTCCACCCTGACCTGCAACCAAGTATGAAAAATTTGCAAGCAAAAAAAAATTACAGATTAAAACACTCATCTATTTCCAAAACCATTGATTTGAAGTTTGCACAGTGGATGAGGAGTAAGTACTAATAGTTAAACCAACTACACGAAAGTCAATAAAAGTATTTTATCAAATTCAAACTCCAAATCCTTTATCTTTTGCTCTATTTCTTTTATATATCTTTGATGAAAATGGTATCGATTTCGATTCTATGTGATCGACAGGAATGGAGACATTTAAAATATGATTAAACGGCGGAATATCGATTTGAAGGACGTTCAGGGTCTCATTCAAAAGGTTTGATAACTCGTCTTGAGTGTAAATAGTTAAGGTATTCGATTTAATTACACATCCATTTCTCAGTGTTATTATTCCTACTTTGTATTGCTTTGTAACATGATCTTCACATATGACCCGCACGTTATAATAATTGCAACAGAAAAATAGATAATTATTAGTTTTGTGAAGTTCTATCCATCTACCTATCTTGACATAAGGAAGTGCTTCTCATACATTATGTAGAATTCCGATTTTTTACACATAAATTGTCACTGAATGTAAATTGAATATAAATAATAAAATGAACGTACGAGTATAACTTTGCTAAGCTTCGTCATACGAATATAGGTATCTTTATATAAGTTCATTGTTATGTAATCTGATATTGGCGTTATTGTTATAATATTGTCTTCTAATTGCTGTGGAATAGGTATAATTAGTTTTTAAATTTCGT